AGCAAGCTGAAGTGGGAATAGTCGTTATGGGCTGATAATCGAATCGCAAGAAGTAAATAAATAAACACTTACCTACATACATACATATACGCTGTATATATGTATGTGTTGAAAAGTTGAAATAAATTTATCAATATACATACATACATAGGTATATACATAAGTAACAGAATAAATTTTAATGTAGCAACAGTGCTAAATATATTTCCAAATATGGATAGTATTTTCAAAATACGAACAAATTCCCGAAAATTTGCCGCCATCTACCATTTGGGTAGGGCTATTGATAGCTGTCAATTAGAAGTTATTTATGAAAATGTCACATCTAGTAAGTGTAGCTCTAACATAATTCTCCTCAACATGTCTGCTACATAAATTTGTTATTGTTTTCACGTTGTACGCATTTATCGTTTATTTGTGTTTTTTCTGTTTGGCATTTTGCTTTGCTGATATGCGAATGTTTTGCATTGCAATTCACTAAGGCTTACCGCAAAAACGACGTCGCACGAGAAAACGTTGCCAAAAATATAAAATGACATCATTCCAGCGCCTTTATATGTACATATGTATGTATGTATGTAAGTATACAATGCGGTGTGGAAAGAAGCCACTCAAAAGAAATGGTATTAGTGGAGCTTTTTAATATACCCGCATGTTGGACCGGCACAAAACGAGTGAACGAGAAATCGAACGAATGAGCTGACTAAGCTAGCGGCCCGAGCTGATAAGCACTCGAAACACTCTTCACTGAAGTACAACAACTTTGTTTCATGCTCTGCCAGCCATATAAATTGGTTAGCATAAAAAAATTTCAAAGTTTAATGCATTTAAATATGAGAATTACAAAAAAAAAAAAATTATTTATATCGTACATTGGGTGTAGTTGCCTGTAGCTCGCATATTGGCAGACAGTTGTGTGCTTTTTAATTTTTTTGTTTCCAGCCTCAAAGTGGACACAGGCGTTGCACATATTTGGCCTTGAACCTGAACAAAATTCTCTTTGCGTGCACAAATTTTCGGATTTATTGCAGCGAGTGCAGTGACTGGTGTTAGTCGAATTCTGTATGTAGTATGCATGTGTTCAGTAATATTTGGATTTGTATTATTTTTGACGAAAATCAACTGTGTTGTGCATATGCATATGCATATACATACATACATATATTGCCAAGTGATATTTAAGTATCTCCTTTTAGAATTGTTGGAAATTAGTGCTGGAAATTACTAACTACAAAGGTCAAAGTGAGGCTATTCATCTTTCCGAAGATTCTAATCAATTATGTCAACCTGAATTTTATTTTGGGATAAACTTTAGTGCACAAGCCAATCCACTAAACCTAGAAAATAGTTTTTTTTTATGTTGCAGCATTTCTCTTCTATATTAATTAACAACGTTTTTTGTGCATGCATGTATGACATATTTATACTTACATATGTATATATGAATACGTATACATATTTCGATTGCATTTTCAGGACACCGAAAGCGTGTCATCGCTAATTGCGACGTGGTTAAAACACAGTTAATGCGCAATAGTTGTAAATATAAGGAAGGTGTATGCCACAAAACGCAGTCATTCACATTAAAAGTTCGCGCATCCTCTCAGGTGTAAACTATGTAGATATGTACCTATATACATACATACACCTCGATTTAGGGCGCCATAATATATGGTTACATGTTCAACAATAATTTTAGATATATACATACATACATATGTACTCATATATTTTTTTGGGAGTTCAATGAACGCGCTGGCGAAAAGGCCGAAAATCCACAACAGAAACTTTAGCAGAAATAAAGTAGAAACGTTCACTTCGGTTGTACCGCAGTTTTAATACCCTTCACAGTTGCATTTCTTATAGCAAAAAAAGGTATAAAAAGATCTTTAGCTTCATTTTGATTGGTCGGTTTGTACGACAGCTATATGCTATAGTGATTCGATCTGAAAAATTTTTTCGGAGTATGCATTATTGCCTCATACAATCACGCAGCCCAATTTTCGTGAAGATATCTTCTTAATTGAAAAAGTTTTCCATACAACAACTTGATTTCGATCGTTCAGTTTGTGTGACAGCTATATGCTATAGTGGTCCGATATCGGCGATTCCGTCAAATGAGCAGCTACTTGTAAAGAAACGGACGTGTGCAAAATTTCAGATCGATATCTCAAAAACTGAGAACTAGTTCGCGTAAATACAGGCAGACGACTATGGTTCAATCGATTCTTTCTGGGTGTTACACACTGCTTGCCAAACTTAATAGATATATTCTGTACAGGGTATAATTACACTCGCAATTGCGTGGAAGTATGAAACTAGCGCCACGTGGCAGATACAAACTTACATAGTTATAGAAATGGGCATTTTGCTACGCAATAGTTTTTAATCCTCGCAAGTTTGGATAAGCGCTCAATTTTGAACGCAAGAAAGCTTTCGCTTTTTACAAAAACAAAAAAAAATCAAGAAAACAAATATACTGAAGAAACACGCGATATTTTGATGACATCATTGCCACTTTTAAGGCAAACACACACATCTATCTTCACATATACATTCGCATATTGTTTACTTATGTTGCCACTAATGTGTTGCTTCCTTTCTCATGTTTTGATGTTTTCACATCAAATGTAGATAGAAGATATACATCCGTACACATTCGTATATATGTATAAACTTATACTCAACCATTAACAATGGCCGCTCATTCAACGACAGTCGACCGTCAAAAATATATCAAAACATTGTTGCTTGAACCACAAGCTCGCGCTTCTTTGGCAAACTCGTATCGAGTTTTGTGTTTTGAAGTGTTTTCATTTCAATTTGTTTTTTTTGTGTAATTTACTTTTATTACCTTCATGCTTTTAATGTGTGTGCGTAAGCACCACTCTTCTACTACGCAGTGGTTTTATGCATGAAACACGCTTTGCTTAAATGTGTTCGCTTTTCGTTTCCAACGCTAAATTTTGTTGACGAAGAAGCGGCCAAAAATTCAATAATGATAACTGACTGAATAGGTCTAAAAATATTCATTACTGAATGTGTTGCAGAAGAGGCACGCACAGGATGAGTTAAAAAAAAAGGTGAGGTAATCTTCCTAAAGACTCAATGTGTATATGAGTAAACACTAGAAGAGTTTTTCGCAACCGTATTAACATAACACCCCGTACTCTAAAGCACGTTGCTCCAGTGAATAGCAAGTCTTTATGATCTTGGACCGCATTTAAAAAAGCGTCGAAAACATTTTATTTTCCAATGTTGACAAATTTCTTGGTTCCATATTGATTTCCAACACCTTTGAGATATATAAGCGTAAATCGGTGCACATCTATAACCAACCATATTATTAAAAACTGCTAAAATGAAGAAACTCAAAGTTTGCCCTGAACACCCAGAAGGAAGCGTCGGAGACCCCATAAAATATATAATATATAAATGATCAGCATGACCGGCTGAGTCGATTAAGCCTTGTCTGTTCGTCCGTCCGTTGGTGCAAATTGTTCAGATCGCACCACTATAGGATAGACTTGCCATACAAATAGATCGATCAAACTCAAGACCTTGTATGGAAAACTTTTTTATTAGACAAGATATCTTCTCGAAATTTGACATGGATTATTTTCAAAACAACGGTACAATCTCCGAAAAAATTGTTTAGATCGGACTACTATAGCATATAGCTTCCATACAAAGTGAACGATCAAAATCAAATTCTTGTATGGAATCTTTTGTGTTTGTGAAGGGTATTATAGCTTGGGTGCAACAGAAGTAAATGTTTTTTTTCTCATTAGCTGTCTTTGATTCGCCATTTCTATGCTCACTATTTAGGCTCGTATCGCGTTGAATTGGAACAAGAGAGTATGCGGATACCTCATTAACTTGCTATAACCACTATCGACGCTGCTACCATGGTTTGTTTCACACTTTTTAGATTAGTTTTAGCATTGTGAATATCTCACGACAAAAATAAAAATACAAAAATTATTTTTATTGATTTTCAAAACTTTAATTAAATTACAGTTGTTTGTAGAAAACGTAACGTTTGAAATTAAGAGGTTATAAAATGGTTTCTGTTGCGGAAAAAAGAATTTCTGCATCAAATAAGGAATCGAAACACAATTGGACATATGTCAAGAGTACATTTTTGCACATATTTGAGCAAGTGGTACAATTTGTTCGATTCACAACTCTCCCACGCTTGGTGAATCGATAGCTATTGTTTATAATTATTTTGGTGCAAATATAGAACTGTAATGCCTGATACCTGATTATATAGCAATTTGAAAGTATTGTACAAATATATAGCTTAAATTTAAATATTTCACGAATAGTTGCGGTAAATATTCATGCTAGAAAAATGGAACTAGGATTATTTACAAACATAATTCTCATAGAACTTTGAAGGATTTATGCTAATATCAATAAAAAAGTGAATATGCTCCATTCATGTGCAGAGAGGGTAATTTAACATGCAGAGAAAAAGAATGTTGTCAGCTGATACCGGTGAAGAATATGAGAAATAAGCGAATGCATGAAGTTTTTAAGCTTGCAAACTGTACAGAAAGACGCAAATCATAACAGAATACGATGAAGGCCCCTCAAACCGACACAATGTGAAATGGATGAAACTAAACGGCATTGTTGTACTGATGAATGAATGGATGCTGATGCCATGTGATCATTATGGAGGACTTGTCTGTGTGTATTTAGACTAGTGAGTGATTAGAAGCCAATTCAACAATAAAAGTGCATTCAAATTTTGATATGCATACATAGATGAGATCATCTCTGTAACAACAATAACAACATCAATGCTATTAAAGAAAATGAACAAATCGCACGAAAGAACAAATATATATTTTAGCTGCTGTCTTTAACAGCGCTAAGCGCTTATAAGTTTTTGTTCGTTTCGTTTGATTGATAGATTGATATTGAGATTTATTGAACTGGCACAGACACAAGTCGCACGATGCAGTCAAACAATTGGCAGTCCGACTGACCTGTTCAATGTTGTGGTCGGCGAAGTGGCGAACATAACAGCCGCTGACGCCGCCGCATTTCGGCCCGTCGCATCGAGAGATAATGCACGCGGCACCATACGTCCAACGGTGTGTTGCTGTTGTTGTTGTGCAGTTTGGTGTGTCAAGCTGGGCATGCGTTTCAAGTTCGCACCCAACGCGTGATCGTAGCTATAAGCCATTCTAATGGGAATTTGTGTGCCGCCGACGCCGCCAACACCACCACCGCCAGCCAGATTTGTTTGCGATTCGGGTGAGCTGCCATAGAAAGGAGAGTATGGATATGCGCTGCTGGTCGGGCTGGCGCTATGCGCTACGTGTGTTGGTGATGTTGGCAGTTGTGGAGTTTGTTGGCCGCTTGACAAATGCTGTGGACTGTGCTTATTACCAATCGGTATAGGAATGGAACGACTTGTTGGGTAAATAGTTGGTGAGAATTGATCGATTGCTTCATCTTCGTCTGCATCCTCATCATCGGCGGCATCGTAATTTTGTGTGTTTGGCAAGAATTTGTAGCGATTATGTCCAAGTGCTAGATTTGTATAGATATTGGTGTCGGAGCGTCCCGGTATCCACGGTCCAGACACGCTGCTATTCTTCAGATCGTGTGGTGATGCCGTTTTCATATAGTAAACAAGCTGATCGGCTGGTATATTATTGTTGTTATAGCTGATATTAAAATTACTGCCGTTACTGTTATTGAGCAGAAATACACCGCGTTCATTGTTCGACATATTGAGCAATGTCGAGATGGCGGGTGTTATGTGCGGTGTGCTAAAGGCACGCTTACGATTACTACCATGGTACATGGCCTGCGAGAGACTCGATATGCTGCATATGTTAGCCGACGTTTTGTTGTTGCGTGTGTTGCAAAGTTTTGGTTCGAAAAATAATTCAAACATTTCGATTTTTGGTATTTCATAAATTTTTTTCAAAAACGAAAAATAAAAGAATAGAAGAAAAATATTACCAATCAGATAACTCAAATAAAATATACGAAGTGCATATATTAAGGGATAAAGGAGGTATCTAGTGGGAGGCATGGTAAGGAAAACAAAGGGAAGCCTTTGTGTGGTTTGTAGATGGAGTACATGGGCGGGATGTATTACTAATATTTCATAAAAAATATAAAGTACTGCGAAATGTTACTAACTATGTTGTGCTGAACAAATTTTCAAATAAATATAGTATTACTAAATTATACGTGTTTGGAAATTTTTTCCCAACTGCAGTTGCTTAATATAATGAAACTTTTTACTTACGTAGCAAAGTGCGCGTGTTTACAGTTCTTACTCATACTTAAGTATGCTATTTGGATAATCAAATTTACAGTTATAGATATTCGAAAATTTCGTTAACTTTCGTTAACTGTTCGTTAGCACAATTTCATTTAAGTATTTTGTATTAAAGTATTCTTTGTTAGAAAGAAACTTTGTAAGTCACATCATAGCTTAGTTGAAACTTGCAAATATTTAGAAGGTTTTTGTTTTTGCAATATGTTATGTAGTGGTTAACTAAGTAATTTTTAAATTAGTTATAAGCTGTTAATGTTATGTTGGAAATAGAGGTCAATGTGTCAATAAGAAGTATCAATATATCGATGAAACAAAATAATCTGCTTTGTGTGTATTAAAATTAGTATTAATTAAGTTCATTTTGAGTAAAAAATTTAAACTAATTTGTGCGTACAAAAATGTTTATTTTTTATGGTATATATTTTTTTTAGATTATAAAATGGCAAGAAATAAGAGGTGTGTTCAAAGGAAAAGGTGAATTTTGACTTTTCGCGGGCTGTATACATTCGATTATCGATACTTTGTTTTTGTTACAATCGAACACATATGTTTATCAAGTGCTTGCATTAGAAGCCAATTACGATTAGTATTTTGTGTTTGACAACAGAGAAGATTAGTCACGTTTTTGTATGCTCTTCGATTTTTGACTCTTAAAAAAAATGGATCAAAGAATATCCTGGAGGTGCGACCACGTCAACAAGCGAAGAAAACAGCGAAATAGTGAAAAAAATTGTTCTTGAAAATCTTCAAATTACTATTAAGGAAGTTGCAGAGGATGTTGAATATCAAGCGGCTCATGCTATTCAATTTACTTTTTTTTCAAATTTTTATTCACTAAATTTGCCTTCCTGTAACTTTTTCCTATTCTCAAAACTGAAAAAACCAATTAAAGGAAAGCGTTTTGCTACAATTGATGAGTTTAAGTCAGAATCGAAGAAAGAGCTGATGGCCATACCGAAAAGCGCATTTCAGAAGTGCTTTGAGGATTGGAAAGCACGTTGGCATAAGTGTATTACAATATATTCGAGAGGAATTACTTTGAAGATGGCAAACTAGATATTGATGAATAAATAATTACTTTAAAAAAAAATTTCAAAATTCACTTTTTCCTTTGAACACACTTTGCACATATGTAGGTTGAACCTGGTATTACCGGGAAATCTTACTTTCATAATATTATTGATAATTGATGTAAATAATACAATTTAAGTTTGGCTAAAACAAAAATTAGTTGAATATTTAAAAAAAAATTATTTTTAGTGTTTTTTTCTGAGTCTAATAAAATCTAATCAAATTTGACCCGGACTGTTCCATATAAACAACGCACCAAACTGAAACGATGAAAATTTTTGTTCTTGATTGGTACAACTTTTTTTTTATGTTAGTGTGAAGTTTGCTCTCCATATACCACGAACGGAAATTAAAAAACGAGCTTGCTTGAAATTTATTTATTTTTGCAACGTAGAAAACGTTGCAGAAGTGTTTTGGGGTGTCTACTTTATCGCGTACACAAGTATTTGAATGGTACAAAGCATTCAGTGAAGGTCGTAAAGTCATCGAAAACTTGCTTCGTGCGAGCCATCCATCGTTTCTGTTAATGACGATAACATTGAAATAGTTCAAAAAATAGTCCTTGAAAATCGTCAGATTGAGATGAGAGAGATAACAGCGAATCTCAACATCTCTTTTTTGGTTAAAGTTTTGGGTATAAAGCGTGTCAATGCTGAACTCGTACCAAAAGACTAGAAACTCTTGCGAAAACTACGTCGAGTCGCATCATTACTGGTGATGAGACGTGTTCTTATGAATATTACATCGAAACTGCCCAACAAACTAGCGAATGGCGCTCGAAAATTGAGCCGAAACCGAAAATACCAAAATTCGTAAAAGGCACTGAAGGGCATCGCAGCTGAGGCTTACAACAAGCGTATGGAAAATTAGATTAAGCGTAGATATGTTTGTATTTCGAAGGCGCTAAGAAATATTTTTATTGAAATACGTGAAAATGTAGTTTTTTCTGTCAGTCCGGTTAAAATTTGATCGACTTCTCATAGATTTCCTAAGCAAATTATGATTTTCTAATATAAAAAGCTTTGATTTAAAGCCAATTAACGAATGCTATATGCCACTTAGTCAACTGTTATGAGATATATGCTTTCAAATTAATATCGATTAGTCAATCTCAAACAACAAAAAAGGCAATAAATTTGACTCTGAATAATTGTGATTTTACTTTTGCAATCACATTGTGTTTATATGTTTGGTATCTGTTGCAATTCCACGGAAATTCAAATATAAAAGTTTGACTGTCAATTAATGTCACTCATACGCAGTGCTGAGCGCAGCGTGCTGTCGAAAGGTAGCAAGTAACCAGCGCTGAATGACGTCACTAACGCACAATTTGATAAGCCATTTAAGTGTATATATTTCTAAGTTGTTTTTTTGTTTTGTTTTTGTAAGTATTCATATATTTGTGTGTGTGTGTATTATGTGTCGCAGTACAAATAAGCCCGTGTGTGGTCAACCAGGCCATTAAAATCAAAATTTATTGGCTGCAGCACAGCCTACGCTCTCTTCACATATCGTGTATCAGCAATCAAATACAGCAGCAACAATAAGAAAAGCAGCTTTTGGGGAAAATTATAAAAAAATCAATTGCTTTTGTGTATTTGCAGTGTGTGGGTGTCGGTGAATGTGTATGCGCTACTGTTTTCAGCCATTTCGCAGCAATTGCGCAACGTACATCATTATGCGCGTTCTGCTCCAATTATGCCAATTTAAAATATCTATAAATCTCACATGCGTGCAGTGAGTTTGCTGATGGCTACGCAAAGACGAAATTTTCCCAAAGCAAGCAGGAAAAAAAAAACGCACTGGAGTGCAGGCAGTTGCATGAAAATGCGCCAAACGCAACGCAGCCTCAGCATTTAAAATGTTGTGTACGCATTGCATTATATATGCATGTATGTATGTATGTATTGTTATGTTATTTATTTCCTTTCATTGTTTATATGTTTGCACCACGTTTTCGGTTTTGGCGCGCGTCGACGAAATAAAGTTCAGAAAAAAAATTTAAAATTAAAAAAAAAAAATTATACAATAAAAAAAAGAGAAAACACAACACGAAAGGAAATTTGGCGGCATTGCACGAATACTGGCGGCGTTACCAGCTACCAGCGTGCTGGCGTTGGCTGATTGGCTCAACCTGCTGGCACTGCTTGGAGAGTTGGCTAGATTTTTCTGCTAGCTGCCAATTCGTTTCGATTTCAAATGCATTGTTTCGAAAATTTCGCTTCCGGGAACGTGTGCCTACCATATTGAGCGCGTTTTGTTTGCATGTGTATGTCTATATAGTGTATATACGTGTAAGTGTGTACGAAATCACTTGCAACATGTTTACTGGTGACGCTTCGCTGGCTCTGCAAAAACGCTGGCAGCTAACAAAGTATGATTACAATAACAAAACAACAGTATATATGTTGATTTTTACTGCAATGTGCAACAACTGGAAAACAACAAACAAATGTACATGTAGAAAGCTCGAAACGAAAGCATAGTTGTCACAAATAAATCGCCACTCACATAATTGTGTGGTCGCACAAAAGCTGCGAGGTAAGGACATGAAGCTAAAACTAGAATTTGAAATTAAACGCATAGCTGCCACAATGCAGTCTTGCCTATTTTGACGCAGTAGGTCAAAGCATCCGGGTGGCCAGTTGTTGTGATATTTGCTTTTGTTTACGCGGAGCTACGAGTTGTTAAGCCGCAAAAAGGCAAGTAGGTGCATTTAGGCATTAAAGAAATTGAAAAGCGACATACTTCGCAGCTTTACTATTGTATGTTCGAAAGGGTTGTCGATAAAAAGTAGTTACATAATCGTATATTGTATTATTTAAAATTTGCCAAAACTTCTCAGAATTTCCTGATGTCTGTGCACCTAGCGAATTGTTAGATAGCCTCTGACAACTAACGATCTATGCGATCAACACAGTGGCTTTCAAAATAAATGCTAAATCATTTATTTATAGTAGATCGCTAAGGCACAGAATGAGACTAAAAAATAATGCTCGGTTAGTACTATGTGACATTAGATTAGATTAGGTTAGGTTCTACAGCAGCTACCCAGTCTTTTATATAGCCAGAAAAACTGCTACAATTGAATAGCGAGGAAGCGACTTGAGCCTAACTCAAATCTGTTCCAGCGTTTTATTCCCATTACCGCTAATTCACTTGGATATTTAAATATTAAAGCTCCTTGGAATTTTTGCCTTGATCTGACAAGGCAGGGCATTAAAGTAGGAAGTGTTGAGTTGACTCCACCGCATATTATTATTCTTATTAATATTTAATCTTATCGAGTGAACCCCGAACGGACAGTGACCTGTTAAAACCCCTACAACTAGGGAACTGTTAACTTTGCTGCGAGAGAAGAGCTCAAGACCTGGAAGGATCTTGCCCTGGGTTAGCAGGCTCTTACGACTTCACAAAAGCTAGTAGCTGACCAGCGCTTGCATAACTTACTCATGAGCCATCTAG